AATCAACTTTGGCATTCTATGCAATCTCACCATTTCACTTACATATAATTTAGTTAATTTGTCAATTGGGTTTATCATCTTCATATGTAAAAAAAGAGCATATTTAGTAAATCAGTCTATAATAACTCATATAATATCATTTCTCCTCTCTTTTATTTATGCAAATGAGACATAAAAGTTCATTGTGATATCTTCCAACTTCTATTTTGGTATTAAAAGTGGTTGTAAAAGCCCTATCTACTTATAATGCTCCATTTTTGTTTACTAACAGACACCATACTTGGACATATACTTTGCCACTTTTTTTTTCATACTTGGCCACTAGTAATAATCTTTTAAGTTTATACACATTTTGTTACATCCCAAATGTATTGCAAATTTGGATTCATGTGCTTATTTTAATACTTCATTCTTTAACATCCTGTCTTTCGCTAGATACATTCGCTTTCTCATAGGAATAATTTCATCATCTAGTATCCAAAAAGGATTCTTAACTCTTGATTCAACTTTATTTCTTATTTTAGTCAACATCCTTCCATTGAGCCTTCAACACCTTATCCTAGAATATAGACTACACTTTTTAGGAAGCAAGTAAGGAATCTTTAAGCCTGACTTCTATCTTGATTTCAATTTTCCTCAATTCTAGCAATTCTTTCTTATCCCAAACTTCTTGTTTATTTGATACTATTTTGTATTTGCAATTAAGGACATCAACTACCATATTTTCCCTTCCCAGCTGATACTAAATTTCACAATCACATTCCTTAATGAGCTTCACTCATCTTCTTTATCGCATGTTGAAGTCTCTTTGGGCCATTAAATATCTCAAACTTTTATGGTCTATGAAAATTCAAACACATGACCTATAAAAATAATGTTTCCAAACCTACAATGTTAATACCACTAAAGCCTATTCTAAATCATGTATTTGGTAGTTACCCACATAAGCCTTTAATTGTCTTAGGGTATAAGCAATTACTTTGTCATATCGTATTAATACATAACCTAGACCTTTCCTTGAAGCATCACTATAAACTACAAACCCTTTTGTCTTTGAAGGTAATGTTAACACCAAAGCAGTGGTAAACTTCTATTTTACTTTTGGAAGCTCTTTTCACAATTTTTATTCCATTCTTACTTTATCCCATTTTAAGTTAATCGGGTCATAGGAATAGCTATAATGGAGAATCTCTTAATGAATCTCCTGTAGCATTATGTTAACTCGAGAAAACTATAAATTTCAGTTATATTTATGGGTCCCTCTCACTGTAATACTACCTACATCTCCTAGAACCCATTAATAACCCTTTAACAAATACGATATGCACTAGAAAAATCACTTTATTTAGCCAAAATTCATATTTATTTAGGTTGGTATACAATCAATGCTCCTTAAAGGTTTACAATACTTGTCTCAATTGTTATTTGCGCTCTAGATATGATCTCAAATAAACCAAAATATCATTTATAAGCACTGCTACAAACTTATCCAAATAAGATTAAAACACCTAGTCAATCAAATTTGTAAACATCATAGGAGCATTTGTTAGTTCAAATGGCATTATTAAGAACTTGTGATGTCTATAACAAGTTATGAATGCAATCTTTGGCACATCTTGTTCCTTGATAAAGAATTTAAAATACCTTGACCTCAAATCTATCTTCAAGAAGACCCTCTCCCTTTTTAGCTAGTTAAATAAATCATCTATCTATGATAGTGAATACTTATTCTTTTTTATATATAACACTAGAGCTCCTCAGGATGAGTTACTTAAACATATAAACCTTTTATCCAACAATTCTTGTAGTTAAATTTTCAAGTCAGCTAATTTAGTGGGCGCTTTAAGCAAGATATTCTTCTTAATTATCATAATTGAAATAATGCTATTCGATATGACATTTCTATCCCCTCTAAACACCATTATCTTACCTTCTTGGTTCTTAGGGATCACTATTTTCAAACAGAACCCTAAACTCAGCCCATGTCTAACACCTCATAAGTCTACTAGACCGTATTATATCCTACAAAGACCATGCCCTATCTGACAGTAAACGAGTGATATAATTTACTCACAAATTGTTCCGCCATCCAAATCTACTTCATAGTTTCTTCTATTGTATATTGCCACCTACATGTTATCTCAACATCTGGTTCTCCTAAAAATAACTTCCACTTTAATTCTCGCATGCTTTTCACTTCTCGAACCAGTGTAATCATGCTATCCATCAGTGTCGGGGCAACTGGCAATACCTATGCTACTTGTGCTATTAAAGGTGTTGGTATTGATGTATAAGACATCACCTCAATAATGCCCTCACAATCTAAGCTATAATGTCGGATCAATATATAGTGTAGGGGTTGCTGCTAGCACTGCTATTGCTAGAAGAGGCACCTCTCTTGGATGAGGTGTTGCAAGTATATGAGAGGCTGAATCCTCTTTTTCTACACACACACACACACACACACACACACACACCATGATGTTGACATTGTTTATATGCTAAAGAGGGATGTGTCATCATACCTTACCTTGTATGCATCATCCTGAAACAATCTAATACTTATCAGATTTCAACTCAACTTCTGAACCTAGACGATGACTCTAATACCATTGCAACAACCTTCAATCTTTTGACCTAAATTTATAAATAGAAATATAATAATTCAATTTAAGATTAGAGTAAATTTTCTTAATAAAAAATTCAGGAGAGTTTCTCCTATATTTTCAATATCAAGTTATCAATATTAGACATAAAATTACCATCCAATCATTTTGAATACAATTATCTCAAAGAATAGAATAAAAACAGCACAAGATAGATAAAAAAAAGTTATAACATATCAGCTGAAAATATTTTATATTTGGTTAAAGCTAACATATTAGGTCGCTAATACATCCATGTCAGAATGTGTTGCATCATTAAGATAACAAACACCCAAGTTAAGGTATCTTTAAAAAGATATTGGTCACAACGTTACTCCAAACCCAAATTATGACCTTTTGTCACACTAGCCCATTTTGTATGTTTTCATCTTAGTAAGCTTTAAGTAGATTTATAATCAGTTTTAATTTTGCAGGAGTGTTTATTTGCCTTATATAGTACATGTAAATTCTGAGCCCATCATTCACCAATATTTATTTGGATTCATATTGATTTCTTAATTGTTGAATCAATGAATAAAATGTTTAGACCATTACTCATTATTTTTACATCCAAAAGGATGATATTACATGCGTATCATCTATTAGTCCAAAAGTGCTAGCTAAAGTCTTGATTTAGTTTTAATATATGAATAAATCATCCCCCATGCTTGTTCTAAATTTGAGTGAATATGACTCTGCTAATAGTTATTGCCCTTGACACTAATCTATAACACTAGGGTTTGTTCTCTCTTCAAATATCATCTCTTGTAATCTTAGCACTACTCTAAATTATTTCATTTTTTTTAGAGAGACTATAATTTTATTCTTGAATCTGATAAAACCTGTAATTTAGCCCTAACCTACCAATGGTTATGTTCAACAAGGGAGATTAATAAAGTCCTCATCTACTCCATCAAAACATGACAATAAAGGTCCTCATCTTTAACAAGTATTTTGTTCTCATATGGCTAGGTATATTTGTTGACTTTTGTTAGCATTTGAAAGAAACTTGACCCGATGACCACCCACCGGCTTCCTTTTATAGATAGTTAGGTGGCTGTAAATGCGAAGCCTTGCCAATTACAAAGCCAACCAAACCACACACTTGTATATATATATATAAGTTTCACAAAACCTCCATGTTAAGTTGCCCCATGCCTTATCCATTCATCAAGGCCACATTTTTTATACATTGGCACGAGTTTTCATCTCGAAATTCCTCCAGGTAAATACCTAATATTATTAGCTTAGTGTGTTAATTTATTTCATAAACTTATTTATTTTTGTTTTAATGACTTCATCGAATTGAATTAAGGGAGCACTAGGTTTCTTTTACTTTTTTTTTTAATTAAAAAGTAGAAAACGAGCATAACATAGGATTCAATGGACAATCTAATGAGAACAAGCTATAACATGGGATTCAGTGGACAATCTAATGAGAACAAGCTATGAAGCATGAGAGGGTTTTATTATTATTATTATTATTATTATTATTATTGATACCTTATCAAAGTTTCAAGATAAAAAGATGGATTTAGCTTGGAGTGCAAGGTGTCCTCCGTGTTTTGTCAAGAGAAACTAATGATGGTGATGATGATCTCTCATGCACTTTTATTTATTCCTTTCTTTACTATTCTTTTGCGAACTATAAACATACATAACATGTAATAAAATTGAATTTCTGTAAAAAAAAAAATTAAAACACAATAAAGCAAAAGTTAATTTAAAGATAATCATATTTGTATACTATTTAATTACCAATCTTGATATGAATAACACATATTTAATCAAGATGCAAGTTTGATATATAATATGGGTTTGAGAATACTTTCACATGGATGTAAGATTTTGTCCAAGGTTTTTGATTGCTTATTAATTAGATTAATTTGAATTATCTAGATTAATATTAAAATAATATTGTTTTATATATTTTTTAATTAAAAAAATATAGTCTAGATAATGTTTTTAAAAATTATCTTTAAAATTAACAAAATTAAATCTTATTTATGCTTGACCAAATAAATTAATAAGAGATTGATGTATTAAATTATTCAAGATTGATCAGGTTAAGATATTAATTTTAAAGATGAAATTACTTAGAACTAAATTTTCAATCAATGAATTAAGTTGATGTTTTTTTAAAGTATTTTTTATTTAAGAATATATTAAAATAATTTTTATATTTTTTTAAATTTATTTTTAAAGTAAACACATCAAAATTATATAAAAATAATAATTTATAACTAAATTTTTTTAAAAAAACTTTAAAATTACAGTTGATTCATAAATAAAGTATTAGAGAGCTAGTTGAAAAATGAAAGTAGTGCTATCAAAGACGGTCTTATAAATGATCAGCCACCTCTTACTTTGTCTGTTTCACAACTGAACCAGTACCAGGTGGCTACTCTTCTTGCTTCTTCCAATCCCGGCGCTTCTCTCTCTCAAAGCTGTGCACTTTTGGTTGGCTGGCTGTTTTTGTCTTGGTTTCTACTAGTTTCTACTACAAACACTGGTTCCTACTTGATGGAATTTTTCTTTTATTAGTTTTTGACTCTTTAATTTCCTCAGGTACTGTCTTTTTTTCTTTTTCTTTTTCTTTTTCAAGTACAGTTCTTCCCCTTCTTTTTATGATCATTAAATATCATAGCTTTTATGCTTGTTTCTGTCCAAGTTTCTTGATTTCAAGTGGGTTTCATTTACTGTTTCTTCTGCTGTTCAACTCTGATTTGTGTGAATTTGGTTTGTGCCCTTATAGAATTCCCTGATTCATGTTTTATGAGTTTTTGTCTTCACTTTAATTCTCTTGAAGTGTACTGTTGGAAAATTCTTCGTTAAACTGACTGGTTGCTTAAAGTCTACAACTTGTTGGCATCAATTAATTGAGCAGTTCTCACTTTTAGAGTTGCATAATGCTTGCTTTCAGACTTCAATTGTGAGGTTGACGATCATTTTTTTAATGGTTATATGCTTAAAAAGGCTGGATTTTACTTGTATTCTGCAACTGCACTGTTTATAGTTTTTAATTTTAGTATAGTTCATTTGATACTTGATTGCTTGTTGATTTTTGGGGGTGATATGCCTCGTCAAGTTCTTTTAGGGAGGTTACATGTTGTTTTGACTTTGGATTGTTTCAAAATTTTACTGCAGGAGTTTAATTCGACTTTAAGTACTGTTGAAATCAGATCACTTGACAGCATTTTCAGAAAGATTCTTCCCATTTTTAAGCTAGTTTGAGTGCTTTTAAAATGTCTTCTTAGGTTTTTCTTCGAGTCCATGTTGCCTGTTATTGAGAATGTGTTTTGTTTTTTGTTTTTGATTTTGGCTAATCATCACATAACATGGTATCAATGGGCATTATTTTGTGGCGGTTCCCCTTTTTTTGGCTTTATCAAATGATTGATTTCTTCATCATTTGATTTTAGTTCCTCTTAGAATTATCTTGGAGTACTTTAGGAAAAGTTTACTTCTGTTTTATGTTTTCGTAGTCAATACTTAGGAAGCAACGCTTGTTAGTTGAATTCATCGGGGGCATTTGCTCGAGCTTTATCATTACTAAATATCACGAGCTTTGATATTTTGTATGTGATGACTAAAATCCATGAATATGAAGATTTATCTAGGATATAATCATATCTTTGAAATTGGAATTTGGGGTTTAGTTTTCACTTACATTATGTTGTCTGGAAAATGACAGGTCAGAAAAGCTTTTTTCCACTCCAGTCATGGATACTAATTCACTTCTTAAGGATCAGAAAGAAAAACCACGTCTTCTTGCTGAGGTAAATTCTGTAGCTTCAATTCTGTGATTCTTCTTCCTTAACAATGAAATTCCTGTTCTTCAAGTCTTGACTCTTGAAATTTTGTGGTTTAGGTTCCTCATTTAGAAAAACAGCTGTGGACACTAGTCCATACGAGAGGTCTTTTATACTCCAATGTTCAAGACTTGTATCGAAAAATATGCTCTAGTTATGAGAAATTAATTCTCAGTGATCACAGACTGGAGGAGCTTCAAGATACTGAATATTCTCTGTGGAAGCTTCACTATAGACATATTGATGAATTTCGTAAACGAATAAAGAAATTTTCTGCTGACAGGGAGACTATAACGTTTGTGACACCACAAAGTAAGATGGCTGCACAGAGAAGCAGTGACAACCATGTTGATGGATTTAAATCATTTCTGTCTGAAGCAACTGAATTTTATCAAAATCTTATCTTCAAAATCAAAAGATATTATGGTCTCCCAGAGGATTTTTCCTTCCATAGAAGTGGTGGCAATTCTGCTTCCCCTGAGCCCAACAAAATGCAGAAACTACAATTTTTATGCCATCGCTTTTTAGTTTGTCTGGGAGATCTTGCTAGATACAGAGAACAATGTGAAAAATCTGACACACAGAACCACAAGTGGTCAGTTGCAGTTGCTCATTACTTGGAAGCAACATTAATTTGGCCCGACAGTGGAAACCCCCAAAATCAGGTATTCTCAAGCTTCTTCCTTATTATGATATCAGCAGAGAAACTTATGAAAGGTCCTCAGTCATGAGAATGACTTTTATAACTTTGCATGCTTTTAAAACCTACTATCCTGGTTTCGTATATATAGCACATAACCAAATATGTTCAATTTTCAGTTGGCAGTGTTGGCAACATATGTCGGTGATGAGTTCCTGGCTTTGTACCACTGCATAAGAAGTTTAGCTGTTAAAGATCCTTTCCCTGATGCATGGAATAACCTTATTTTACTGTTTGAAAGAGTAAGACTCCAGCTCATGTTCCAGCTCTCTCTCTTGTATAAATGCTATCACCAACAGATTGCTGTGCTGCCATTTTTTTTCTTTGGCAGTTCTCAGTTGATTTTGTGGTTTTCCAGAACAGGTCATCTCATTTACATTACCTTTCTAGTGAGGCCTGCTTTGATTTCTTACGACCATCTGAAAGTAGCGTCTGTACTGAAGCACAATCCACTAATGATTTTTCGAATTGCAAGCCTTTGAAAGCTGAAGATGAAGGCTCAAGGGAGACACATTTATGGCCTCTAATCATTAGAACAATAAGTTTCTTCTTCATAAAATCCAGGTAATCCTTGAAGCACATTTTGTTTCTACCAAACAATTTTAGCGTTCTCTTCTAGATTTAATTATGCAATAATGTTTTATGTTTTTTTCTCAATTTCTGTTATACGTAGTATGTGCTATAATGCCTTCTGGTTCCTACAGTAATTTTCACTATGTTGGTAGAATGCTTGATACGTTAATTGGTATAGCATTCACTATCCTGGGTGGTCTCCTTGATAATTGTTCTATTATCATCTTTTCTGAAATTGAATGTTCATCTTGTGTTGAGCTTCTGAGATGTAATGATCTTTTAGTGGATTCTCAAAGTCATAAGGTGCATGAATTTTTTTATCAAGCAATTACCATAAATTCTGTGCCAGCAGAATAATGTTTATGTTTGGAATTTTTGACAGCAAAACTAAAACTGTTATCCTTATGCAACATGATTTAGGAGGCATCCTTCTGAAATATGCTGTCACATTACTAATTCATGTTTTTATCATATGCATTCTGGAAGTACCGCTTCCACTATGTCATACTGAGCTTAAATTTTGTTAACTGCTTTTTAAAGTTATCTTGTTCTGAACTCCTTTCTAAACAAAAGATGGTTGTATACAATACTAATTGCTTTTCAATTTGTGGCAGTTTTGAGGACTTTCCTTGTACTTTTGCATCTACTATTAAAGAGCTGGATGTGTTGATGGCACTAGATGATGCAACGTTAAAAGCTGCAATGGAGTCATATCAGCATATGAATTCAGCCAGGAGTGGTCCTTTTAGAACCCTTCAATTTATCTCATTACTCATCTTTGTCATTGAGAATCTAATAAATATCCCAGATGAAAAAGATTCAAAGGGTAAAACTGAAGTCCATCAAATTGCATTAATACAAGCTGCAGTGGCTGCTTCATTCATTTTCATGGGACGTCTTACTGATAGATGTTTGAAGGCAGATTTGTTGGACTCTTGCCCACTTTTACCAGCTTTGCTTGTTTTTGTGGAGTGGTTAGTGCGTATTCTTGATGAACTCAAAAAACATGGATCTGATGATAAAAGTACAAGTGCTATGTCTTATTTCTTTGGAGTGTTTCTTGAACTTTTGAATCAGTTTGACATTAACAGTGGTGAAGTCAAGCCTCCACACAGTATTGCTCTTTGGGAAGACTACGAGTTGAGAGGCTTTGCACCAGTAGCTCATTCGCAGGTGCCATTAGATTTTACAAGTCATTGGGGACACAGAGACAGTTTTGAAACTGGAACTCGATACCGTGTGAATCGCATCATTGATGCTGCAATGAAGATTGCAGATAGAACAAACAGTAGTCCCAAGTGGATCGTCTATGACAAATCTGGAAGTAGATTTTCTGTTGCTGAATCAAATAAATTTCAAGACAGGAAAGAGTTGGAAAAGATGGGGTCTGCTAGTACTGTTGTTCAAGAGAAAGATCCCAACCAGCAAATTTTACAATCAACAGAAAAAAGTGAGAAGGTAATCCTTGAGGAGAAACCAAGTAGCCCTGTTGTGAATGGAAAATCCATTTCCTTAGAGGAGGAAGAAGTCATTCTCTTCAAGCCCCTCACAAGATACAATTCTGCACCACTTTATAGGTCTATCACCTCCAGTGATCGAGCACCTTCAGAAGACACTGGGGACCAGGTTGTGCCTGCTGATGAATGCTTGCGACGGGCTACGTCACTACTAATAGCACAAAACCAGGGCCAGGGTGATCCTTCGGCATT